ACAATACTATTGCTTAATGAATGTGGGTCCAACTAGGGCCCAAATGTGGATTCTTGGCCCAAAAAGGACCAAGTTGAGGAGTTACTGGCCCATTAGGCCCAACAAGTGAATCCTGGTCCAATAATAAGTTTGAACCGGGAAGTTAGGGTTTCAAGCCCAATGTTGAGTGAATGTAGTGTATTGAATTAGGTTTAGGATTTCACGAGTGAGTTTTGATTTGAATTGTCGTTTTGAATGAACCACTTGCATTGTATCAACATTAGGGTTACAAGATATGGTAGAAGTTAATTACACATGGACAAAATTCCCTAGCCCTAAAATGCTTGTTGTGACTAGGGGGAGCAGCGGAACATGGTACCCGCCTTCGGAACCGGAACCGCCTCAAAACCGTTGGTTCCGGTTCCTTAAGTTGTGGAACCGCCTTAGGCGGTTCCGGTTCCGATTTTTATTTTTTTGGAACCGTTACCCGCTGGGTACCCGTTGGAACCGGTTTGTGTATATATATATATATATATATATATATATATATATATATATATATATATATATATATGAATTTATGGAGTTTGTTGTTCTCTCCAAATAATATACACAAAGCACGAATGGTCTTGGGGATTTATATATACAAACGGCAAACATATCTACTAATAAAACTATTAACTTGTTTATATTGAGATTAAACTCAAATCGATACCTACTGTATTTGAGTTGGCTTTAATTTTTTTTAAAAAGGTGTCAATATTTAATAAGAACTAATAAGAAAGACAATTAAGGGGGTGTTTGACTTAGCTTTTTAAGGGCCAAAAGTCCTTTTTGGAAAAGTTGCAAAAAGTCAGGTTTTCCTGACTTTTCCAAAAAGTTGATTTTCCTTCTATCAAAGATCAAAAGTAGGTTTTAAAATTGTTTTGACAAACATCTTTTGGCTTCTATCTTTTTCTAAAAGATCTTTTGAATTCTCAAAAGGTAAGCCAAACACCCCCTAAATCGTATTGTAATTATCTTATGTTTCAAATAAAATAAAGAAATGGATAGCGATAGATGTGGTTTTCTTCTTTATTCATTCCACATGTTGCTCAATGCTCAGTTGCTCACAAATAAAGATAATGTGTAAGCAGTTATCCCACATCGCTTGGTTTAACAAAACATGATAAATTATATAGCCTATAAAAGGAGAATACCCCTTGTTCCATTACCTGTATAGCCAAAAGTTTCTATAAAGACTTCAAATAGGTTGGAATGTTTTTAGAACGTTAATTATGAGTTCTCTAAATACACAATTATGAAGAATTTCATAATTTTTGTCTTAAAATAGTTTGAATTCAAAACAACAAGCGGGTATCAGGAACCTTTCAGCGATTCCGAGGGTGGTTCCAAAGTTTTAAGAACTGATGTAACCGGTTCCAGTTTCAACTTCTTAGGAACTGCCGGTTCCGGTTCCATTAAATTTGGCCGGGTACCCGCTTATGCTCACCCTTAGTTGTGACAGGTGAGTATCATAAAAATGACCAAAATTGTTAAGTATATTTATGTCTGAAAACTGCCATAGAGCATTTTTTTTATGTTTGAAAACTGCTCAATTTGTCACAAACAATTTCTAACAATCACAAACTATCATAAATTCGGGTTTTTCTAAAAAAGTCGAAACAAAGTAACCAACTCAACTCTAACCAAGGGTTCTGCCCCTTGGACCCCGCTCCTAGGGGCACTGCCCCGGTGTAACCCTCGTCTTTTAAGATTGGTCAATTTAGGGTTTCAAGGAGTAAAAACTCAAAAGGTTGCTTTTTGGTGAAAATCAAGTATCACGACATGACCATTGGGTGGTCACGATGTGACAAGGGTAAATATGAATAACGTGTTTCGGGACCAATCTCATGACGTGAGACATAAGGTCTCACAACGTGACAATTGCTGCAGCCCAAGTCAATGATCTTTTTGTTGGGTTTTATATTAAAACTAGTTTTATAAACTAGAAAATTTGGTAAACAAAAGACTAATTTATAACCCACCAAAGATTATCTTGCAAGTTATAGAGGGATTTAAAACACCAACCAAAGAAATGATGAAGAAATAACAACTTTTCTAGTTCTTTGGGTCCTCTTGGGAGGCTTGGAAGTTAATGAAGAATGTATGAACCTTTGAGATACCAACAATACTCCAACTTGATGATGATGCTAGTCTTTAAACTCTTAAGATCTTAAGCTTTAAGTTCATAACCAAAGTATGAACTTAAAAAGAACAAAATGCAAGTGTTCTTTCAAGTGTAAAAGCAAAAACAAGAGATAGTGAGTATGCCAAGCATACTTACGATTTTGGCTAGTAAAAAGGTCAAAAATATGAAAAATATGCTAATCCATGAAATTTCACATTATGCTTAATATGTCGTTACTAGAGCGTGTGTGGTTAATCAGCACACTAATAGGGACTCTAAAGAGTACTAATGGGCATCTCGAGAATTATCATTATTGATGGAGCGTGTATGGTTAACTAGCACATCAATTAGAGATGATAAATGACATTGAGGTTGTCAAGCACATTTTCATGGTTATTCACATCTTATTTGTGATCATGGGTATCTCAGTCACAAATAGAAGAACATAATCTGAGATTAAGCGTGTCAATGATAGATTTGATGAATCTTAAAGATATAGGAGTTTCATTTTGATTGAAATTTATAAATTGCTTTTACCTACCTTTATAAATTTACAATTAGATTATAACATCCCTCTTATAGATTGTGAATTGCATAATTGGGTCCTAGCCTCAAATATTTATTATGGCTTAAATACTAGGGATTATTTTATCATCTAACTAAAACTACATTTTTATCTACAGATGTATATTCCTAGTGATGTTTATTCTCCTTCGTTGTCTACCCACCACTCAGGTTTCTCCCTACTCTCAATCGTTTCCAAGGTGACATTTGATAGCGCCAACTATAATGAATGGATGCGTAATATTAAGATGACTCTTCGATTTGAGGGAAAAGAGTATGTCTTTGAAAAAAAAACATGATGAAATCGATGAAGCCACTGCTACTCCATAGCAACTAGCCTCCTATAAGAAACACTCTGACGATGCAACAAAAGTTGCTTGTATCATGGTCGTTACTATGGCCCCTGAAATGCAGAGGTTTTATAAGGACTATTGGCCATCTGAGATGAATAATGACCTTGTGGAAAAGTATCATAAGAGAGCTCGTCAAGAGAAATATGAAGTGGTCAAATCTCTCATGGATTGCATGATGAAAGAGGGAGAGTCTGTGTGCAATCACGTGTAGAGAACGCAAAGATATGTGGAACGCCTTGTGAGGCTCAATGTGCATTTTGATGAGGAGTTGGCCAATGACATGGTCTTGAACTCCTTACCAAGTTGTTATGATCAGTTCTATTTGGCTTATCATTTGAACAACACAAAAACCACATTGCCCCAACTTCATAACTTGCTACAAACTGTTGAGTCGGGAATGAAAGGAAAGAATCCAGCCCCTTCCACTAATGTTCCCGTTCTTGCTATTGGGCAAAGCAGAGGGAAGAAAAAGAAGTCTGCTCCAAAAGCTACCTGGAAAGGAAAGGCCCAAGTTGGGTCATCTAGCAATGGCCCAGAAGCGAGGCCCAGTTCAAACATTCCAGCTGTTAGTGACCCCAAAGAGGTCACTTGTTACTATTGCAATTAATTTTGTATAGCCTAATTATACTCGAAATGTCTTAAAGACTTATTGAATCGATTTGTTTCATGATATCGATTGTGATTATCCATCATATTACTTTTAAACAATATTTTTTTTTTGTTTGAGGTTTTTTATAGTTTTCAAACTTCGCTTTTATTTAAAAATGCTTTTAATCATTAGAAGATTTTAAATCCTATTCATTTGCCATATTTTCATAGCAAATTCTATAGTCATAATTTCATAGCATTTTCCGTAGCAATTTTTGATGGCATTTTTCCATACCAAAATTCGTTACTATATTTTTGTAGTCATTTTTCCATCGCAACTTTCATAGATATAATTATGTAGCAAATTTAATAACTATTTTACCGTAAAAAAATTTGTAACTATTTGCTCCATAGAAAATTCGTAGCTATGTCTTTTATAGGAAAGATTTAACAAAATCAAATTTATTCTTAACAAACTAAAAATATATAAAGAATATAGTAAAAATAAATTTAAAAGTTACATCAAATTTTACAAATATATTGCATAGTTACTTAATCATCAAAACTGAGTTTGATGATCAATCGTGTATAATTTTATATATATATATATATATATATATATATATATATATATATATATATATATATATATATATAAATGTGAACAAAACAAATAGGCAATTATCTTACTAAATCATTTCGTTTTAATTTGTCATGTCGTCAATTAACAACTTTATTGGTTATAAATAAATTGTCTAAATATAATAAAATGAATAGATAATTACTCTTTTTTTCAATTTTTAAAAATTAGACCGAACTTACAATTCTACCAAACAACGTGAACCGTTTGACTTGCTCTTTCTTGTATGACATTAAATCATCATTTTCATATTAATTTACATTTATCACATATCTTTTACCAAATATTATTTTATCACGTATCTTTTACCAAATATTATTTTTTATTTATTTTTTATTTTAGGTTTTCATATAATCTCTCAAACAGATCTTTAATTTAAATAAATAGAATGCATTTTCTAATAAAAATTAATATCTTCATATCATGCATGGTTGACTCACCAATCCAACAAAAATAAAGCCCCAAGTGGATTAAACCCACTTCATTTGAGCATTTTTTATAAATATTTCCATACAAATAATTTTTTTATTACATATTGTAATATTTTATAGTACCAACCATAACGCATTACACGTATACGACGTGTCAAAAACATGTTGTAACTGTTGCGTCCCTATTTTCTATTACTTGTAACAGTTTAATTCCATTTCGTTATAAATAAAATATTAATTTCTAACATATTTTAAGATAACCCCCTTAATCTTCCTTAACATACAACTAACTCCCTAAAGTTCTCCCATATGTACAAACAACCCCTTGTATTTCCGAGAATCTACAAAAAAAAAAAAAATTAGTCAACTAAAAAAGTACACTCATTCCTATTGTCGGCCTCATTGGTCCTCCACTCAAAACAATCTAGAAAAAATTTCAACCTTTATTGATTGTGTTTTTCTTAAAGAAAAATTAAATACATCATGTACAATTATTTGACTAAATAGATCAAAAGCATATTTTATCTTCTAAACCGTGCGGGAACTCGAGGCGTTAGGACCACCACGTCTCGGTTAGCCCTAATTAAGGCTAGACGATCAGGTATCGTTTTGTCAAACAGTCTGTTATCAGGATTCTCAGCGTAACATACATAGTAACAACTCACACACGCGTGAGGCAATGCCATTGCGATCCTCGTCTGCAAAGTCAATAATTCAAAAGGTTAGATGCAAGAAATAATAATATATTTTTATCGATTTGTTTATCACATTATTATATATTTTAATTTATTCTTATTACAACATTATACTGACCATCAAATAACCGACGATGAAGGCAAGGAGGGAGATGGTGGCGGTGAAGGGCGCGTGCACGGATGCGGTCCAAGCCGCCACCACGATGACACAGATTGAACCACTACAAACTCCGGTGAGGAAGCAAATCGCGGTGGTAATGTCGGAATCCACAATTGTTTCCATTTCACGTTTCTCGAAAAGTTCCCAAGTGTCTTGGGATGCTTTCACAAACCCTTTTCCATATGCCGCTATCTATAATGAAATTATAATAATTGTAAATTTGTATAAGGTTATATGCATATGGGATAAGAGGAAAGAGTTTTTTTAGGAGAATTATTGAATTTTTTTAATTTAGTTGGTGTGAAAGTGACAAGTCACCTGTGGGCATAGCATAAGAATTATGTAGTAAAAGGACACCTCAACAACAAGTGGTGACATATTCTTGAGTCATGACTCCATTCATTCATTTTTGTGAATATTTCTTTCTGTACAAAAATGTCATCAATATTTTATGATGCATGATTTAAAATAAAGATGTTGATAGAGTTTGCAGTGTTTCTAGAAAAGAAAAAGTACAACTTTTAAGGCGTTGAATACAAGTGATAAAGGATGACTAAAGTCATTTATTTACAAAGAAAATGGTCTTAAAATAGTAATAATAATCCTAAATGCAAAAACAATAAAAAAAAATAATAAGTACCATAGTTTTTTTTCCTTGTGTATTATAACATATTATTATACAATCAAAAAAATTTATAAAATATCTAGAATTATAGTTTCACTTTGTTGTATTGGTAGGATATTGTATTAAAAAAACTATACAATTATAGAATACAAATTGCTTTCTATTTCAATTTGGGTAGATTTGTTTTATACAAATACTATGTTATAATACAAAGAAAAGCTTTAAAACCCATAATCACTTCAAGAAAACCCATAAATATTTACAATCAAATTAAAGAATAAAAAAAAGATTGAAAATTTAAAAAACTTATTTACCTGAACATAAGCCCAACCATTGCCATATCTGAAAATTGCTTCCATAACTTTGAGACAACAATGTGCACAAGAGAACATGAACTCATCTTCTCCCTCAAGCAAATTCAAACCTCGAGCAACAATCCTCAGAGCTTCAATGGTGGGAACAAATAAAGACCCTAAACACGCACTTCCAAGATTCTTGGACATCGCTCTTTGAAAACAAAACTGTGTATTCGATTGCATTCCCCTTAAATAATACAAAGCAATCACTCTACTAATAGTCAAATTCGCAACATTCCTCATCACTTCCGCAGTCCAAAGCAAACTCAACACCAACAAAATAATCACCAATGGCGGAAAGTAAAAATTCAACGCCCCAATCACCGCTAAAATCCAAATCGACATCCAGATAAACCCAATCCCAAGCATCCAGTAAGTGGGTCGATTTAAATCGGGAAATTTCGAAACGGGTTCCAATGATTTAAGAAAAACTTTACTGCAAAACTTTGTTCTTTGAGTTACCCAACACGAGTACAACCCGTTTCCGATTGCGAAAAAGATGAACACGACACCGACGCCGTCGGTGCTCGGCGTTTGGAAGCAGATGAGGAGGATTCCGGCGGATAATGTCATGAGGAAAGAACTCCAGAGGATGAAATGCACCATGAAATTAGGCCAAACTCTTACTGCTTTCTGCCATGCGAATGCTAATGTGATGCTTAAAAGAGAAGCTGCTTCTACTTGTGGGAGAAAGTAATGAATTACTCTTCGTTCTTTTCTTCCTGCGCTTCCTCCTTGTAATAAACCTTGAATCCCTTTGTAAACCAAGAAGAATACGAGACAAATTGCAACCAAGAAATGTAATGCGAACAAGAACAGAGATATTTTGTTGGTGTATTTTCTCGAATTGAGAGTAGTCAAAGATGGCTGATAGTCAACAATCAACGAAGAATAATTGAAGTTAGAGAACAACCCATTAATTTAATTCAACTAATAAAGAAAACCCAGAACCTGAAACTGAAAATTAATTGAAGAATGAAGAAAAAGATCGAATTTTGACTTACTTGAGGAGTTGGTGTGCTGTGTTGAGGAGTTGCGATGGGGACGGGGATGGAACGAGGGTTAGCGGTGGGCGGTGGAGGAGACGGGTGGTGGTGGGGTTGCGTAGGCGGTGGTTGTGGCTGTGGCTGTGACTGTGGAGGTGGTGGTGGATGGTGGTGAGCGGCGGTGGGGCCGCGGGTAGGTGGTACTCTGGTGGCATTATCGATAACAAGTCTTAATGGATTTGTTGCACTTAATCTTTGCATTCTTGACATATGCACATCTCTTGGTGGATGTTGGTGTTCTTCAAAACCCACTTCACCTTTCTCCAAATCTTTGTCGGTTTTTCTGATTTCAACTTTTTCCGTTTGTTGATCGGCAGCATCTTTCTTTTCTCTCTCTAAAACCTGCAAAATATTGAGCAAACACAGGGGAGATGATGTGAGAGAATGATTCAGAAGCAGAAAATGAAATCGAGGAAGTGGGTGAGATGTAAATTACAGGTTCTACGGCACCCATCTGCGCCGGCGGCGGTTGGTGGTGGCGGTGGTGACGGCGGAGGAGGTGGAGATATAGAGTTTGTTTGTATGTGTTTGTGGTTATGTAGTGGGCTAGTGGCTGCTATGATATTGGTTTGGCACTGTTACTTTCACAGAAGCTTTACATCACATCTAAAAGAGAAAGAAGGAAATATTTCAAATTTGTCCCTATACTATTATTTTCTTGTATATCATACCCAAAATCCGAAAGTTTTTAACAAAATGATTATGTTTCTGTTAATCTGTTTCCATAAACTTTAACAAGAAAAATAGAAAATCATTAGAAAGTTAATATAAGTCTAGCTCGAGTATTTTTATTTCTCTTGTAATCATCTTTATTTGGACAATTTTACTCCTTGTATTTGGTCATGTATTGTAGATATGAGCTGGTTAATAGAATTATGTTAATATTAACTGAAGAATTACCATTTTGTTAAGAAGTTATGAGTTAAGGATATACAGTAAAGGAAAAGTAATTCTAGAGGTGTAATGTAGGTATTTAAATACTGAAAGGACTAATTCTATAAATTACTCTAATCCTCTAATAATTCGAGATATAAGCGAAAGTCGTTACGTTTTGGAAAATCTCTTCACATGTGATATTATTAGGAGTTGATTGGAAAGGAACAATTTGTTATACTTATGTTTAATTCATAAGTATTTTATTTTTATGTTTAATTCATAAGTATTTTATTTAAACAAACAAATTCTCTAATAGTTTGTTAGCGGTCATATGAGAGTTATTGCCTCTTCACTTTTATTTCAAAACCAAAACCCAAAAGTATTATAGATGTGCTGTTTTTGGCTTTTTGCACCGCAAAAATATCCTTTTCAGTATTACATGTCATCTTATCCGTTAAAGTTTTTGCTTTTAAAGAAAACTCCTATATTAGGTAGACAAATAAAGATATGATGTCATTCTTAGAAAAACCTCCTTTTTTGAATTACCAAAATACAAGTCAATAATCATAAAAAAATATATATATATATATTGATAAAATTCAGAGCAAAAACGAATTTCAGGTATCATTTTTTTAAGGTGTAATAAAAAGTTTGACCAAAATAGTTATGATTTTTGCAGATAATATCAATAAAATCTTCCATATGTGAAAAATCAATTTTTTAATAAAGGAAAAATGACATCTTGCCTCACTTCGATTTTGTCATTTCAGTCTCTAAAGTGTTTTTTTCGTGTCTTTTAAGTGAAAAACTATTTTTTTGTTGGGTTTATTTGGTCTTTTTTTTTTAAGAAGCGAAGGGATCATTCATCCGGTAACTTCACTTAAGTGGGTCCATTTCACTCCACACATTTTCTTCTTCTTTCTCAAGTCACCTCATCATCTATAACTAAAACTACACACATACAAATATTGAAAATTTAAACACTCATACACTTAAAAAACACACATACACAATGATCCCTTTTATTCTCTCTCTTTCTCTCACTTTATCTTCATCAGATCATCTTATTCTAACCGGAACAATCACTGCTTGCACCAGCCATCATCTTCTTCTCCATATTCTAGCATCTGTCATCATCTAGCCATCACCTTCACGCCACTGAGCATCATCTTATACCCTTGTAATTCGAAGAGAAAATAAGAGTAGAGGGCACACTTCAATTCAGAAGATAAGGAAAAGAAAAAGTATGCGGTTTTCACAAAGATGGAAGAAATAGGTTGATTTTTGATGGAATTTGTTTTCTTTTATGAGTTACCAAATACACACACATAACATATAGTGGAGTAAAATAACCCCAACTCTCCATCTACAATCGAATTTTGGAGCCAATATACAATTTCATTATGTTTCTATTTATCCAAAATAAGCCAACAACTGAATTTGATAGTGTAACAATGTGAATTTTTCAGAACAATTTTTCATTTTTGCAAACATCATAAACCATCATTTAATATTTTGAAATCACATGTGTAACAAATGTCATTGTAACAAAATACATCCCATGATCATAAAACAGTTCCTTCGTCAGTGTGTACAAATCACGTCGGCGCCTTCTCACGGTCCTCGCTAGTACCTGAAACACATAACACAACAACTGTAAGTATAAATGCTTAGTGAGTTCCCCAAAATACTACTTACGCACATACGCCTTTCCCGGCCCTGACCTTCCGGTCCATGAGTCTAAGGGGACTTTCGTCCCGACTCAGTAAACCTTCTGGTCCTACCTGCATCAACCTTGCGGTCCACATCACAACGCCTTCCGGCCCATAACATATATGCCTTCCGACCCATAACATAATGCCTTCCAGCCCATAACATAATGCCTTCCGACCCATATTAAGCATAGCATACATAGCACATACAAATGATTAACTTATCATATACAATGCATACAACTCATAACATATTCGACCTTCCGGTCTTACAATAAAACCCTTTCGCGTATAGTATAGTGACAAAACTCACCTCGTGGAAAGTCTAGAATCTCACGTGCTCGCTATCTCTGAATCCCAAACGAAGACTCAACCTCGCCTAATCATAACGAATATCATTTTAATTAATATAGACTTCCACAACTAGACTTTACCCCTTGACTCAAAGTCCACATGTTGACCAAAACCCTAAAAGTCAACATCTTCAGTACGTGGGGCGTACAGACTGATGTACGCGGGGCGTACATCGCCAACCCAAAAGTCGGTGTCTCCACCCAGTACGCTGCGCGTACTGGGAGTTACGCCCAGCGTAATAGTCAGATCTAGACACTCTTTATTTCTAGTCTTAATCGGTTAAGCCACTTCTTCAACTTCCAGATCCGACTTTATTTAAGCCTCCTTACTCATAAAGTCGAAACCTTTAAGCCTTGGCATGGCTGTAAAGGCTCTTACACTCCTTAACACCTTTCCATTTCAACTCAAGGATCTAGATCTCATGCATGGCTAATCATTCACGTCCAAGATTACATTTTTATGAATCTACAACTCAAATGGACCAGAAATATGATGGATCTAAGCTAATGGAGAACACTTGCTCATAAAGTCTCCACCTTTGGGACCAAAACCCTAGAAAATGGTCCATAAAGCATACCACAAGAACTACAAGTCAAGATCCAAACTTTTTATCTTAGAATGAAGCTCTAACCTTTACTAAGCACGGATCTACACTTGAACACCAACTTCTAGCCTTCACAATGGACTCCTCTTCTCCTTTGCTACCTTGAAATGACACCACCAAGCTTAGAACACTCATAAATTAGCTAGGAACGAAGGAACACTCTCTTAGGGTTTCATTCTGAGGGATGGTGGCTGAGGAACCAAGCCATCTCATTCCTTTTATAGCCAACCACAAAAATTAGGGTTTTTGGGTCTGGACCAGTTACGCCCAGCGTACCCGAGGGAGGATGCGTATAAATGAAGCACGCGAGTACGCGCAGCGTACTCTTTGTACGCCCAGCGTACTCACCCAACATAAAAGCCCTAAAATGAAAACAAATTAAAGTTGAAGGGATAAATAAAAGGGTACCTGGATTTCGGGCTGTTACAATGTCCCCCACTAGAACTAGACTTTGTCCCCGAAGTCTTACACTGAAAAGAATTCCGGATACTGCTCCCGCATCTCAGACTCGGACTCCCATGTCAGCTCGGACCCCTTCCGATGTTTCCACTGCACTTGCACCAAGGGTACTTCCTTGTTCCTCGGAACCTTAACCTTTCGATCCCTAATTGCCACTGGTCTCTCAACATAGTTCAGGCCTGCATCCACCTGAATATCATCTAATGGCACCACTGCCGACTCGTCGGCAAGACATTTCCTCAACTGCGATACTTGAAAGGTGTCGTGGATCTGACCCAACTTAGCAGGTAGATCCAACCGGTAGGCTACCCTGCCTACCCTAGTGATTACCTTGAAAGGTCCAATATATCGAGGTCCCAACTTGCCCCTCTTCCTGAATCGTATCACTCCTTTCCAAGGAGAGACCTTTAAGAGCACAAGGTCACCAACCTGAAACTCAAGCTCGAGCCGACGCCTGTCCGCATAACTCTTCTGGCGACTCTGAGCGGTCAACAATCTCTGCCTGACCTGCTGTATCTGCTCGGTCGCCTGAAGTACAATCTCCGTACTACCCATTACCCGTTGCCCCACCTCTCCCCAGCAGATGGGGGTGCGACACCTCCTCCCATACAATAGCTCAAAGGGTGGCATACCAATGCTTGAATGATGACTGTTGTTGTACGAAAACTCTGCTAAGGGTAAGTAGGTGTCCCAACTCCCTCTAAAATCCAAAACACATGCTCGGAGCATATCCTCGAGCGTCTGAATCGTCCACTCGCTCTGTCCGTCCGTTTGCGGGTGGTATGCGGTACTGAAATGCAGCCTCGTACCCAACTCTTCGTGAAACTTCTTCCAAATCCTGGAAGTAAATCGTACGTCCCAATCTGAAACGATCGACATCGGAACCCCGTGTCGCGATACCACCTCCCTCACATATAACTCTGCCAACTTTTCCGTAGAAGAGCTCTCACTGATAGCTAGAAAATGAGCGTTCTTCGTCAATCTATCCACAATCACCCAAATTGCATCGACCCCTCTCGCAGTCCTTGGAAATTTGGTGATAAAATCGATGGAAATATGTTCCCACTTCCATTCGGGAATCTCCAGCGGCTGCAACTTACCATGCGGACGCTGGTGCTCAGCCTTAACTTGACGACAAGTCAGGCACCTCTCGACGAACCATGCGACATCCCTCTTCATACAGGGCCACCAATACTCCTTCTTTAGGTCCAAATACATCTTAGTAGCCCCGGGATGGATCGAGAATTTCGATCGATGCGCTTCTTCCATCAAAATGGTACGCGTACCGCCCACAAACGGTACCCAAATCCGACCTTGAAATGTCATAAGTCCCCGACCATCAGTAACAAATTCTGATACCTGTCCGACAACCCGCTCCCTCTTTCAGTTTTCTGGTCTCGCAGCCTCAGCCTGGGCTCCTCGGATGGTGTCCAAAATCGAATTCATCATCGTCAACCTCATACAAACGTCTCGGATCGGGGCGCTCTCCGCCCTATGGCTCAATGCATCGGCTACGACATTAGCCTTGCCCGGGTGGTATAGGATCTCACAATCATAATCCTTCACCACATCCAACCATCTCCTCTGACGCATATTCAGATTTGGCTGATCCAT